TTAGAATTAAAGTTACAAGAACATATTGTCAAATTATCAGAACATAACTCAATTTGAATGTTAAGACAATTGTCTTTCTCATCAATCCATGAATAGTAGTATTCAATCACAAACTCTGACCGAAGTTTCGCAAGACTTTTGGTTTCATTCAAAACATTTTGTTTGTCTTTTTCTGTCAATTCTTTAAAATTATAAATATAATAACTTTTACGTACAAAATACAAAATATTTACCATTTAATCGACATTTCTTTATTGCATAAAATTTATGGTCAAATCTATTTTGAACTTTATACACCAGTCCGTAACTACCCTCACCAAGCTTAGTTATCTCATCAAAGGATTTATCAAATTTGAAGTAATTTGAGGAATCGTCAGTTTCTAAATCAAAAGTTATTTTAATATAAATTAGGTATTAAAAATCACATATGTACCACAAGTATTTGTTTTATCATTGAATAAATTTTGTTGATTGTGCGTTGAAATAGTAATGAAAGTGATTTGTAAATCATGTGAATAGTAATCATCATATGATGTATTATTTATTTCCAAAATGGACTCGGCGATAATTTGATATATTGTATCACCAGACCTACCCCTTACTATTGGATTTCCTTTTTGGTACGAATAGATTTGTTTGATTTCATTGAATGGCAAATCTGTTAATTTAATCATACGTTTGTCACCGAAATCATAGAAATATAATAACCCATCGTTTGTTAACAAATATGTCCAGGTAAGATAACCAACACATACGCTTGCGATATTAGTTGCATTTTCAAATATTCGTGGTGTTTTTATTAATTCACCATGGTGCTCGCCCCACATATACACCTGTCCACTACATGTAATGGCGAGTGATTTATTAAAACAGCATAAGATTTCACTAATTTTAAGTGATTTTAAAAAATTAAAAAAATAAATTTTATGTGCGTTTAAATGCCCACGTGGTCTGTGACTGTCAAGTTGTCCCTGGCTATTACAGCCCCACCCGTATAATTGGCCACTTGATGTCAACGCTAGTGCGTGATTATAGCCACAACTTATTTGTGATATAATTAAATTATTTTTTTCGGAAAGTTTAATAGTAACGGGTTTATGGTATATATAGCCATATAAATTACAATCATCGCGACCGAAACTGAATATCACATTATTATCCGTATTGATAGCCAATGCAAACTCATATCCATTGATAAACTGATGTATATTTTGATGGCATAATTCAGGCACTGGTTGTGGTGTATGAATGGGTGTGTTGTGTCTTAACCCGAGCTGACCCCACATATTAGATCCCAATCCATACACCATATCATCAAATGTCACAAACAGTATATTATATCCGTTTCTGTCATCGAACACATAAAATAATTTAATTTCTTGTTTTAAATCTTCCGGTATTTTATCACAAATTTTATAGTTATTTATAACGGATTGCATAATTATAATTATTAATGAGTTTTATTTACAAAATTATAGTTGTATTGATTTATGTTATACTACGGATAATTTTTTTTATTGTTAAAGTGATTAATAAGATTTAATAATAATAATTAAATTAAGATATATATTTACACAAAAATACATAAGGATCTAAAATATTTCATTTATAATCAAAATAATTAATACAGAAACTTAAACAATAATTATTTTACAAAATGGAGAAATAGTTACACTTTTATTGTCATAAAGTATATAAACTCTATTATAGTGTAAATACTATCACATAAAACACATTCATAACAGTATTATTGGGACAAACAATTGACTGATTATTGCTAAGCATTTTCCAATTATGATCATATTTTTTGATTAAAAATCAATTGACTGTTATATTGCATATATTTGATTACGGATCATTTAGCGACAATTATAAATTATTATGGTCAAATTACAGTAATAGTTAAAAATTATATTCATTTAAACATTAAAATTTAATTTTTGAATAAAGTTTCTAATTTGTATATTTACTAGAAATTTTTATGTTTATTCATAAGTAATTTTGAATGTATAAAATTTAATATATTAAATAAGGGGTATTCATTTACAAACCAAGGATTTCATATTAAAAATTAAGGTATTAATAGTTAGAATATTCTGGTGATGAGTCAACCAAAATGTTCCTAAAGAATGAAAATTTTATTCCTATATTACAAAATGTTCATAACTTTTATACCCTGGTCATAATTCTAACACAAAGACAATAGCGCGCTTTAAAATAAACAAAAAACACAAAAGTCTCAAAGCAGTCAATTAATGAATGCCTGAATAGCATTGCAAAAAATAGAAACATTTTTAGGAAATAATTTTAGTAAACTTGTTTGATTCTCAATGTGGCCAAAACTAGCCTATATCCATTATAACATATAGGGTATATTTTATTAAGATATAACTAATTTAACTAAAGTAACTAGATGATAAATATAAATATATTAATTTTCATTATTGAAACTCATTCTTATATCTCATAACATCATAAGCCCTGGTGATGGTCGCAGTGATGAACGAAAACGTTCGGCTATTATATTAACATAATTTTATTTTTAGTCATTTCTTCACTGATACTACAAATAAATATTGAAAACTTAAACTAAATATGAATTAGTATTGAGAATAAGAATTTGGTTCATTTATAAAAATTTATTTATTGTTTAAATCCATAAATAAAACATTATAACAATTGTAAGGCTTTTTGATACTTTAAACTAAAACTTCAAAGTTTGACCAAAACTTTGCCAGTATTGGAACCGTTGTGAAAATGTAACAAATGGTAGGATTACAAAGAAAAATACATAAAAACATAAAAATAGCACTAAATTAATAACAAAACTCATCTTACAGTAGCATTAGAGGTACCGTAAATTGCGTGGAGTTATATTACGTTACGACACGTTATAAGAAAGAATCATGCTTAAGTTGAACGTATCTCATCAAAAGTTTACCGTAAGCTCTACGTAACTGTAACTTACGTATAACGCTATGAATTGCTTTATAGTACAGTCAAACACAACGCAACGTAAGTTACGTACAAAGTTGTACTTAAGTTTTTTATAGGATCGGCCGCTGGACTGTAGTATAGCTCTATTAATAGGGAATACTAGTATAACACCACTTAAAACATTCAAGACTTTTGATATTTCAAAACAAATGACATGATTATTACTAAATGGAGAACCTCGTTAGGTGTCAGCAAATTGTGCCAGGATAATCTGCAATAACATAAACTCTATGACCATATCTACCATTTGAATTGACCAAACTTTCCGAATATCACCAACTAATCCCGTAAATCCAATTATAGTCAATGGTGACATGCACATTTTACATATTAAATAGCATTATAAATATATAAGGCACTTCAAAAATACTTTGACGGCAATTATCCGTCAGATTTTAATACAAATTGTGATTATATTTACGAAAAATATAAGTCTGAATTTATATAAAAAAATTACTGTATGATTGAATAGCCATCCATATTTATAATGTTATTTAATATGTAAAATGTGCATGTCACCAGTGACTTTAATTGGATTTACGGGATTAGTTGGTGATATTCGGAAAGTTTGATCAATTCAAATGGTAGATATGGTCATGGGGTTTATGTTATTGCAGATTATCCTGGCACAATTTGCTGACACCTAACGAGGTTCCCCATTAAGCTATTGCTTATTAAAAGTTTATACAGTATATTTTATAATCTTTATAAAGTATTGTTATTAATAAATAAACAAAATAAATCAATCATATTGACATTTAATTTGTTAATAACTGACTGTAATTACATTTGTTCCTGGTCAATTTACACAGAAATGTGATTTAAAAGTTGAATATACTGGGTTTTATTGTTTGAGTTTTGTCATATTTTTGAGATTAGTATTGTTTTCGGAAATAAATGTGTCTAGTTTATCCTGACACAAATGCTCCATTTCAATGAATACACTTCCATGCTCAATCCATGCCCAGTAATATTGCACCAAGTTCACATCAAGTAACTTTCTGATGTCAACGAGTAGTTCATGCATTTTCATCATATCGTCTATTATAGTGAAATAAATTATAAATATTGTGTTTTTAAATAAATTATTGAAAGTAATACTAACCCATGTAATGAATATAAATGTGTAAAAGTGAATATATTTTTTGTGAATTTATATTTTTCACGGAATCTATATCGTATCCTATTTGTGCAGTCTGTCTGTCAATCTCTTTAAACTTCATGTCATTTATTGCATTCATTTCTAAGCGATTATACAAATATAATATTGTAATTAAAATAATCAAACATAATAATAAATGAATAGACATGTCTAACCGTTAGATATGTTTTCAATAGGCATTCGTATTATAAAAATGGGACGATTTACCATGAGGAAATTGTAAAATATATGACCTTCTCGTTCGACAATAGTATCAAAATATAATTTGAATTCTTTGACTCCAATAGTGGCGGATGTTTCATAAATGTCTTCAATTGTGATCAAATTTGCGAACATTCGGGTCTTTGTCTTCAATCTGTTGAACCCTTTTTGCGATACTTATTGACAGCCATTGACACCAATAAATTATTGGCAATAATGCATTCATTTTATGCATCAATTCATTAATAGGTTTATTTGATTTTTCAATTAAATTAATCCTAAAATTAAAATTTTTAAAAATTTCGTGCGATTAAAGTAAACTGTATTCAAGAAAATAGTTATTAAAAAGCATACTTTCCGTCCATTATATCGTTGATATCCAAACCAAAAATTTGAGCCCCAATTAGGGATAGACTGTAGATATCTATCTTATGATTGTAATCATTAGTCTGGGCTTCCGGTGCTTGATATATACAGGGGGTCCCAACATCTCCTATATGATTAGTTTTAGACATACGATACCAATCAATACTATCGACCTCTTTAGCCAAACCAAAGTCACATAACTTTATATACCCGTCGTATGTAATCAACACATTATCCGGTTTGAGGTCTCTGTGAATGATATGCTTTTCGTGCAAATATTGTACACATTTTGTGAGTTCACGAAATATTTGATATGATATATAAAACTCCGAAATAGTCATCAATTCATTAAACAATGTTTTCTTAACTTCCAAAACATTGTTGAGATTATCGTCTATTATAGTGAAATAAATTATAAATATTGTTTATTATATAAAGTTATAATAATATTATAAACTATTTGAAAGTAAAGACAATTGCATTCAATCCATGAATAGTTGTATTGAATGACAAACTCTGACCGAAGTTTCACAAGACTGCGTTTCTTTCAAAACATTTTGTTTCTCTTTTTCTGTCAATCCTTTCAAATAGTTTATAATATTATTATAACTTTATATAATAAACTAATTAATTGCATACCTTTTAGTGGACATATCTTTAGTGCATAATATTGTTCATCGCATTTGTTTTTAACTTTATACACCTGTCCATAGCCACCCTCACCAAGCTTAGTTATCACATCAAATGAATTTTTAAACGTAAAATTATGTCATATGTTTTTAGTTTCTATGATTATATTAAAAGTTATTTTTTGTTAAAAGATATAAATTCAAAATTTACGGCAAATATCTGCGCTTTCACTCAATACGTGTTGACCAGTATTGCGTCGATTATGCGTTGAAATTGTATTGAAAATCACATGCAATTCATATGAAGAGTTCATTAAATGATGTATAATTAGTTTCCAATAGTTGTTCCTGATACAATTCATATATTTTATCATCAGATTTAGCCAGTACCTTTGATTTGTAATTTTTAAATGAAAATATTTGTTTGATTTCACTGAACATAATATCCGTTAATTTTTTCATACATTTATTTTCAAGATTATAAATATATATAATATTATGATTTGATAACAAATATATCGTATTATAGCCCATGTGCTCATCTAAATAAACACCA